GTGACCAGCCACTCCTCCTCCTCTCCCGCGGGATCCACAGGCGTAACTCCCACCCCGCAACAACACAGGTCCAGCAGCACCACTGAGGAGCGCTCGGCCACCACATCCCACCCGCCCACGGCACCCGCGCTCTCCTCTGTCTCCTCCACTGCTGGTGTTACAGGGGCTCAGTCGGACGCTGTGACAGCCGAGGTGGTGACTCACAGCCCAGCTCCCAGCACGCCCAGCACCAACCCAGTGGCTTCTGCCCCCAGCCCCTCTCCTGCCTCAGACACCACCGAGGCCAGCCTTTCATCCACCCCAGATGACAGCACGGAGACACCGGCAGCTCGGCACACCTCCACACCCCTCACACAGGGGCAGGCCACGGTGGAGGTAGGGACCTCTCCATCTTCCGTGGGGAGCCCTTTGCCTCCCACAGCCACGGCCTCCATAGATAGCAGCGCCACAACCCATCCTGGCGAAGGGGAAAGTCCCGCCGTCAACCCGGGGAGCGGAACGACAAATGGTCCTCGTGCCGAGACCTCCCGTTCCCTCCCTGATACATCCTTGGCGACCCCATCCACGCCAAGCCTTAATATATCCACATCTGTTAATCCTTCTGTTACTGGAAATTGCTGTGAGTATTTTAACACGTAATTTCAAATGTAATTTTCTCTATTTTTGGAAGAATTGAGCGTAATTTTATTTTTGCTATTTTTGGTTGGAATTCGAGCTTTTCACAGTGGTTTGGTTTTTTTTAAGTTGGGAATTCATGCCAGAAGTATGAATCCCTATCTCTACATGCTTTTCTCAAAGGTTGCAGCTCCTGTCCACAGTTGTTTTTGAAACGGCACACCTTTTGTTTAGGCAGTGTGGTGTGCCATTGATGTAAAATGTTGTGTCGTTATGCTGTATAGGTCAAGTTATGATAGTGAGCAGTTTTATTGGTTTTTATTTGAGTTTTGAAATTCTCTTTTATGATATACTAGAGGCAGTTCCTTCACTGAGAGAATTCAGTTGAATTTATTTGTGCTAACTCAGTTCCTGTTTGTTTCAACACTAATTCTTTTCTAGTGTATCTTTATTTTTTTGCCAAAGGGTTATCTGCCGACTTCAAAGAATATACAGTAATGAATCTTTCATCATTTTTAATGGATGAAAAAGTAAAGACAGAAAAGAGGAGAATGCAGTCTTTTTATATTCTGCATCAAAAAAAAAAAAAAATTGGTGGCATGATCTTCATTTTCAGTGCATAATAGTATTCTAGTTCTACAAATCTAATGGTTTAATCCTTCCCTGATTTGGAGTCTTAGTACTTTCATGGAATTCAACAGGAGAGATGCACTTGCACATGTGATGAGGTATAACTTGTTTTTTCACAAAGGCTCGATGGCAGGGCAGACCGGTGATGAGTGGTGTCCTCGGGTGTCTATATTGGGACCAGCATGGTTTAACATCTTTGTGAGTGACAAGGACAGTGGGGTCAAGGGCATCATCAGCAAATTTGCTGACGGCACCAAACTCTGTGGTGCAGTCAACATGCTGGAGGGAAGGGATGGCATCCAGAGGGACCTGGACAGGCTTCAGAACTGGGCCTGTGTGAACCTCATGAAGTCCAGCAAGGCCAGGTGCAAGGTCCTGCACATGGGCTGGAACAATCCTGAGCACAAATATCGGCTAGGTATGAGTGGATTGAGAACAGCTCTGCTTGGGGGTGTTGGTGGACATGTTGTTGAACCTCAACATAGCCAGCTACGTGCACTGGCAGCCCAGAGAACCAAATGTGTCCTGGGCTGCATCAAAACCAGTGTGGGCAGCAAGGCAAGGGAGGGCATTCTGCCCCCTTGCTCTGGTGAGACCCCACCTGCAGAGCTGCCTCCAGCTCTGGGGTCCCCAGCACTGGAAGGACATGGAGCTGTTGGAGCTGGTCCAGAGGAGGCACCAAGATGATCAGCAGTCTGGAAGACCTCTGTTATGGAGGTAGACTGAGAGAGTTGAGGTGGTTCAGTCTGGAGAAGGCTCTGGGGAGACCTTAGAGCCCCTTCCAGCATCTAAAGGGGACCTACAAGAGGTACTTTGTACAAGGGCTTGTAGTGACAGGACAAAGAAGAAAGGCTTTAAAATGAAAGAAGGTAAGGTTGGAGTAAACGATGGGAAGAAATTCTTCCCTGTGAGGGTGGTGAGGCCCTGGCATAGGTTGCCCAGAGAAGTTGTGGCTGCCCCATCCCTGCAAGTGTTCAAAGCCAGTCTGGATGGGGCCCTGAGCAGCCTGGTCTAGTGGAAGCTGTCCCTACCCATGGCAGGGGAGTTGGAACTAGGTGATTTTTAAGGTCCCTTCCAATCCATTCTGTGATTCTGTGATATGATTCTATGTTTCTATCTTTATAAAAACATTACAGAAACTTAAATTTTTACTCAGGCAATCAGTTTCACATTAATACTTTATTCCTTAAAGACACACAGACTGTAACTACATGTTTCACAGGGATTTCCTTTTTGCTTTTTAGCTCCTCTCACTCTGTCCATCCAGCTGGAGAACGTGACCAGTACAATGATACAGTTCAGCTGGAAACCTCAAGGGGGCACAGGAGACAGTCCTTACATGGTGATTCTACGGGGAAAATCAGGAGAGATGGAGAAGAAAATCCTAAATGGAACAAGCTTTGCATTTCAAAATCTGCTTTCTGGTCATCAATACCAAATATCCGTGGGTGTTTCAACTTGCTCTAAGAATGTCAGCACCTCCTTGACTGTTCAGACAGGTATTTCCTCAGGAATCTTTTCCTATTCTGTTGGCAAACTGGCACATTCATGGCCTTAAAATGAAACCCTTTTTGGCAGAGCACCTGTCTGGACAACAGGCCAAACTTTCAGACACTTCAAGTCAGCCTGAAAATTTTGCATTGGGCGAAGATCTAAAGCTTCACTCGTCCTCCTGCCAAATTAAAAACTTTACTGAACTAGAATGACAGTGGTTCAATGTTCTAGTCTCTTCCTCATACACTTTAATTCCAAAGCCTTACTTAGCCGAGGAACAATTTCTAAATAACAACTAAATTTTGTCTGGTTATTCTGTCTTGCATATCCCTACAGCTGCTGAAGTCTACAGTGGAACCACTAGGATTACCAATAAAGAGTTCAAGCCTGAATATCAGAACAAATCAAGCAAAGAATTTCAGGATTTTGAAACTCAGTTCATTGCAGAGGTATTTTGTTTAGGAGTTCTAGACTAAAATTTATTTTATGCTGAGCTCTTCCTAATGTAAATAATCCTGAGGATCTGGGTATGTATAATTTTAAATGTGGAAAATGAAAGGTTGTGTGATGGTTAGAAATGAAGCAGTAAGGCCTTACTTTATATTGTTGTCCTCTGAGGCCCTGATTTAACTGAAGTTCTGTCTGGGCTTATACCTATTCCTCTACTGTGAGAGGTGCTTCTAAACTAACCATGGCCAGCATATTGCTCTAAGAACTCTCTTGCTCTAGGAGAAAAATAATTAATAAGTTGAACCTTTTACCTTGCAGATAACAAAACATCTGCCACAGGAGATAAAAGAATTAAAAAACGGAACGAAGATGCGTATTGTAATTAATAGCATCGAGAACGGCAGTGTGGTTGTGAACTTTGACATTGTGCTGGATGCAGGACAAAATGTAACAAAACCAGAGATTTCAGATGCTTTCACAGAGGCCCTTAACATGAGTACAGAATTTCAAGTCGACCTTCAAAAGACTGTCATAGAAGGTATGAATCTGTTTATCACTGTGAAGTCAATCAGCAGTGTATATTTCACTGATGGCAACATCCAGTGAAATGGGATTTGGGTGAGGAAAAGTAACTAGTATTTAGCTTATCTATGTCTTTTGCCAATGCTAATTAAAACATTCTTCTTTTTTCTATTTTGTTCAACTTCACCGTAGCAAGGAATAGCTGTCAACCAAACTTAAATGACTGTTCCCAAAATGCCACCTGCACTGCTGAAGGAGCCACTTATTCCTGTCAATGCAAGGAAGGATTCATAGATAACAGTCCCCAAATTCCAGGGAGAGTTTGTCAGCAGGATCTGCCTTCACGTAAGCACTTTATATAAATTAAAAAAACCCCAACTCCAAACCAAAACCAAACCTTAAAAAAATTGCATATGAGGTCTTTTCCGTTCCTTGACCCCTTAGGTAATACTTCCTTATATTTACTCTCAATGGCCTTTTGTGGATTGGATTTTATGCGAGAAGGGGTACCCCAGTTGACTATTTAGGCAAAACTAGAACCATATTTTCTGTGCCTGTTTTTTGAAAGTTGTTTATGTAATTAAATAGCATGACCCTGGTAAACTTTATAATAAATTCTACTCACTGTCTCCAAATTTCTGTTTTACAGAACAGACAACTCCAGTTCCTCAAGAAACCAATACAGCTGGAGTAACACAACAGACAAGCCCAGTCCCTCCAGAAACCAATACAAGTGGAATTACAGAACAGACGACTCCAGTCCCTCCAGAAACCAATACAAGTGGAATTACACAACAGACAACTTCAGTCTCTCTGGGAACTAATACAACTGGAGTTACAGAACAGACGACTCCAGTCCCTCCAGAAACTAATACAACTGGAATTACAGAACAGACAACTTCAATCCCTCCAGAAACTATCACAACTGAAGTTACAGAACAGACACCTTCAAGCCCTCCAGAAACCAATACAACTGGAGTTACACGACATTCAAGTCCAGTCCCTCCAGAAACCAATACAACTGGAATTACAGAACAGACGACTCCAGTCCCTCCAGAAACCAATACAACTGGACTTACACAACAGACAACTTCAGTCTCTCTGGGAACTAATACAACTGGAGTTACACAACAGACAAGTCCAATCCCTCCAGAAACTAATACAAGTGGAGCTACACAACAGACAACTTCAATCCCTCCAGAAACTAATACAACTGGAATTACAGAACAGACAACTTCAGTCCCTCCAGAAACTAATACAAGTGGAGCTACACAACAGACAAGTCCAATCCCTCCAGAAACTAAAACAACTGGAGTTACACAACAAACAGGTCCAGTCCCTCCAGAAACTAATACAACTGGACTTACAGGATCAACATCTAATTCCATTTTCACTACCACATTTCCATCACCACCTTGCAGTAAGTAAATATTTGATATTGAATAGTAGAATAAAAATTATCCAATCAGATCCAATATTCTTGTTCCTCAGTTATATCAGCTGAGGTAAAATCCCAGGACATAACTTCAGAAAGGGAAGCCTGATAGAACCACTGAAAATACATGGTTATACATACCTCAATCAAGTTTCTTCTCCTCAGCAAAGCTCTCCTGAGCCCCTGGGTGCCCGCCTGCAGTAATAAACCACTGTCAAAGGTTGTTTTTCTCAATCTTATCATGAAACACCTTTATTAAATGCCTCCCTACTGCTGAATTTAGGATTTTCTGGTGGCATTTTAGTAATTCATCACCTGATAATATCAGCATGAGCCAAATAGCAGTCCACTCCAGAACACTCATATTTTTCCCATCCAACCTCATCACTTCTTCACCCTCCTAAACCAACACTGTACAATTCTGACCATTTACCACACCTTGCCTGCAGTTAGAAAGTCTAGAATCAAGTAGAATGTTACCCATTAGTGTTTTGGAGCCATCAAACAAAGTGTATTAATGCATGATTGACACCTACAGAGCGAAGAGTTTATTTCTGCTCTTGTGGGAGAGCGACGGGAAAAACCAAAATCAGCTCCAAGAAAACTTACAAAAATTTATATTGGTTTAATTGGGTTTTTTTTTTCTTTAATATTTAATGTGTAGAAGTGTAGGAGATGAACCACTCTCAGTTGTATGAAACTTTTTCACTTTGCAGTGCCGGTGTCCATCGAAATTCAGAACGTGACTGGGGAAGAAATACAACTCAGCTGGACCGGTGGCGGCACAGGCAGCCTCTACAACATCTCCCTCATGGATGGAAAGCAGGAGATAAAAAAAACTACTACAAAAGAGACAAAAGCTGTGTTTAAACATCTACTTCCTGCCCATGTGTACATGATATCTGTGGGAGTGTCATCCTGTGCTGAGAATAACCGGGCGTCAGTTACCGTCCGAACAGGTATTTCCTCAATCGACCCATAATCTCTTTTTAATCAAAATACACACACAATATCATGTTACAGTATCCTCTGGATTTGATCTCATAGACTCTTATTCCTGTAAGTCCTCTTTATTTATTTGACTCACAGGACTGCTTTGATTAAACAGCAGTTTGCGAGAGCAAGTGCTGGCTCTGTAAAATTTCTGACCACTCTGTGCTGCTGAGCCAGAAAATTCTGTGCAAAAGTCAGGATATTTTGGCTGCAAATTTAACAGAAAATATTCTGGTAATGTGAAGTTCAGGTTGTACATGCTTTTGTGAATGCAGACAGTCCTTAATTGTCATAGTTGTCTTTTTAATTCTCCGTAGGATACAGACATTAAGACAAACTGTCTAATTGTGTCTCTGTACTAAAACTGATTCTCAAGGAACACAACACACAATATCCCTCTAAATCAAGGTTTCTCCTTGTAAAGCTCCCCACTGCTATCTCCCTTCAGCCAACTCCTTTAGACAAATCTTTTTCCACTGAAAAAATTACCACTTCGCACTGTATAATATTGCTTTTCAATCACTGGGAAAGATCTAAAAGTCAGCCCATCAAAGGAAGCTACCAGGTTATTTCAGCATGATCCACGTTTGATAAAACTGTACTGCACTTTGTCATATTTTCCCAGTGGCTGAGAAAATGTTCACAATTTCTTTTAATACCCCCTGAAAGACCTAACTTGACTTTTGTCAATTGTTACATTCTTCCAGCATTTCTTGATGTGTGACATATAACTGACCTTGTTGCAACCCTTTTTTCAGTTCTCTAGTGGATTGTCTGATTATTTTCAAAACCTTTCTAGGGCAATTATTCTGGCAGTTAACTGTGGGGTTCCTTCTAATGGGTTTACCCTCTATCTCAGTCTTAAGGACCACAGAGCCAAGGAATTGTCATCATGATTTCCATTGGAATCTTTCAGTACTTCAGTCCACTGGCTTTCATTTACTAGTTTCCCTACTGAAAAAGAAATTAAAAATGGTTTCCTTTTGGAATCTGGATCCATCTGCCCTATTAGAAAAGTTCAGTAAAGACCAAGTCATTTGTATGGCATGTGAAGTTAAAGATTGTGTTCAATTCTGTGAGGGGAACTGGAGCTATACCCAATGAGTTAACCACATAAAACCTGTTGTGCCACTCTTTACTGCTGTTTTGACCCACTTTAAATAATTCAGATTAGCCAATCCAGACAAGTATCCTGAAGTTTTGAGACTCCATGATTAAATTCCAGATGGCTTTTACTTCTGAAAACTCTATCTAGTTTACCTGAGTTGTACAAGAACATCAACGGTACAACCTGTATCTTTAGCTCTCATAAGAAATCAGAGTTCTCAGTGTTATTGCAGTAAAGCTCTCAAATACCACCTGCCCACCCACCACCTGCCTCTCTTTTGATATGCTCCATTTTTATAATTTGCAGTTGCAAGTTCTCACTGGGTCAAAGGAACTTCTGCTTAGGTGACTCCTTGGCCATGATGAAACACTTTCACCTGTTCCATAACTTTCTTATTGGCAACAATCACACCTGCACAGAAGCGATTATCTTGATTTTTAAACTTATTTCCCAGATTCTGTTTCCTGTTTCAACCGAACTGAGTTCTGTTTACCAGAAAATACTGGCTGTTCTGACTTAAAAGGCATTGTATGCTCTGGTAAGTTTATGGAATTTTAACATTTATTTCTTCATAACTACAGGGTATTATTGCACAATATAGTATCTTTCGTGAGTATTTTGCCGTTTGCTTTATTATGTTAAGTCACATGGCATCCAAAGTTCACACTTCTTTGGTAAAGAAGCTGCTTTCATCAAACTTCGGTGTCAGCTTCCAGCTCTATTTTTATCCTGGACTTTTCCATGTAAAGCTTTCTTCTTTTGGCTTGGGGCTCATCCACCTACTCAGGCAGATTTAAACACACTCTGTGCCTTGCAGAATCCAGCAGACTGATGTTGCTTCTGCTGAAATCAATGGGAGAGTGGCTGCTGAATTAGGGAGTGGGATGCACCCTGAATAAGAGGATTGTGATGGCTGACAAACCTGAAGAGATTCAGCCCTGAAAGTTCCAAAACCAGTGCATTAGACACACACGATACACTTATTATTCGATTTGTTTCTGGGTTTATCAATTAGTATTATAAACAGATGAGATAATGAAGTCCAAAAAGCAATTTTGGACATCTTGGGATTCGCCTGATTGTTTCTTTTTTTTTTTTCCCCTCAGATAACCAAGCATTTGCCTGCAGAGTTTCGTTGAAAAGACAGATATTTAACAATACACTTTATAACTCTGATAGTGAAGAATACAAAGCAATGGCTGAGAGTATCAAAACAGACGTAAGTTGATCAATCTTCTCTGTCAACATGAATGAACTAAGAAAAGGTTTGCTATGAGCAGCCTCAGTCTCTTAAATTCATTGTTAAATCAAGACTGTGGCATGTGAAAAAAATAATCCCTCTTTGATAAAACTGTGCAGGAAGCACAAGGACTGTCAAGGACAGACAGCTTGTTGTCCAGTAAGGAGGGGTATGTTCCCTAAGTCATCCTCAAATTAAAGTTATTTAGCGAAAGGCACTTTAAAATTCCATTTTTATAAGTGCAAGGAACAGCCTGCTCTGTCTATTTTCTCCCACCTTACTAAATCTATGCCTGTGGAAAAGGAAAAAAAAAACCCAGTACTCAAAAATAACATTTCAACACATACTTGGAAAGATGGGACCTTTATAAGTGTCTGCTGTGAGTCCAGATCATTGGCAATTTGCTTCATGCTGGTGGCTGCAGGACTGGAGAAGGTACCAAAGGGTCCATATAAAGGGGGAAATGAGGAGAAAAAGTGGCACCTTAGAGCTGGTAAAGCTGACAGGTAGAAGCAGCAGTCTGCCACTCATCTGCCTTTGGCAGCATGTTAAAGAAAAGGACTAACAATTTAAACACCTCTCAGGAATCCTGATGTATGTAAGCCTGTTGGAGAGGTAAAACTACTGTAAGATTGGGGTAGACTGCTTTAAATAACTACCACAGAAGATTATTTTTGGTGTGATGATCATACCCTTTAGCTAAGAATCTCCACAGATTTCATAAGCGGTAATTAATTTGTTCTCAGCACGCCAACTCAAGGGTAACCTTGTCTTATGACTGCTATCCCTTTCATGGATAGAAAATTTAAAAGTGGATTTAAAAGGCTTCCTCCAACACGACTGAATGCACCAGGAATCCCTTCACAGGCTTTTAATAAGCTTTCCCCTTGTGCCACGTGTCAGCTTTTCTCTGAAAAAAAGGCAAAATCAAAGGGAGGCTGTTCTAACATGACTGGAATCACAGTTGATTTCTGTGTTGAATTTATTTTTTTTTTTACAGTTTGAATGTTAAACTCTTTATTTTAAATTCCATGGTGCTCAAGAGTGGTAGTTTTTTTTTGAAATTTTACACTTTTTCACCTGCATAGTTCGCATTTCCTATCTAGGCTGCTCGTCGTGGTGAGGGAAAGAAAAGCATTTTTGGAGTTTCTGGCCAAAGAACTTAATGCAACATGTAGTTTGGGGTGAGGGTTTATCCCACAGAGAAAGATGGAGGCAGATGACTGAGCAGTGACTCAGAGAAAGGCGTGTTACCATCTGTGAAAAGTAGTAATCTTTCAGACTTTTCAGGTAAAATACCATCTTTATCCACAGCGAGAAGATAACTTCTCTCACTGGGCTGAACCAAACACCTGATTTACTGTAAAGATCAGTCCTGACAGAAACATTTCAACCAGTCTTACTTAACAGAGGGGACTGCTTGTTCTTGCTCTATGAAGCAATGGGCACAATGAAGCAGTGGGCAAGACTGTACTTTCAGAGACATCAGTGCAATTGATTTGATTTTGCTTGGTGTCATGAGATTACACTTGGTTTGTGTCAAAATGACTGAGAGGCAAATCACACCTCTCTTTGCATAGTTACTCTGTAACATCATGATTTTGATAAAAAAATACCTTTTGTACCTCTCACATCTACATTCTGTGCTGATAGCGTGTGCAGGGCCATGCCTGAAGTTTAGTTGAACGTGTTAAAAATGCTGGGGGACACTGGAGGTAACTCTAGAAATTAGGTGCACGTTTTAGGTGCACTTTGTAGATTCCAAATTTTGTGCAGTCGGGGTCTCACATGAGTTTGTGGAGGAGGACAACTGGTTTCAATGCATTATTCATTGATAGCAACCCAAACAGATGGGTGCTTGGGAAGTCAAACACAGATTTCATGTTTTCAAATACAGGCCATGCATTTTTTCCAGAATCCTCCCTCAGTAAGGTGTTTTTTTTTTTTATTTGTTATTCCAAAGCAATTATCCTGAAACGAAACGAATATCCTGGCACATGTAGGATGTGTGCATTCCTGCTCTGCCTCGGTTGAGTGGCACGTGGAATAACTATCCCTTTCAATTCGCACAGGTTGTCAGAGAAATGCGCCTCGAACTGAGGGATGAACGCTTCGACATCATCGTGCTTGGGTTCAGACCTGGGAGTGTGATTGCTGATTTTATTTCTCTGCTGCCAAAAGTGGAGCCCGTAGATGCGAATGTTATACAGACCCACCTGAGCCAAATATTAAAGCGCAAGTTTGGGGACGAAACTGAACTAACTGTACAAAGTAAGTGATGTTGAAACAGCTTCTCTGTGATGGTGTGGGGATTAAAGGGTCAGATCTCCTTCTCTTCACAAAAGCTGATAAATTTGCTTCTTTCTTTTAACAGATCGAAGTGTCTCAGATAATCTTTTTAAACATTCACAGAACACGTAGCCCAGATATCACGTAGATTATGGATCTGTTTTAAAGTGTCACTGCACATACCCAGTTCCAGACTTGAGGGACGGGTTCTCTTCACATAGAAGGAGGGTTAGGTGAGCTTTTTGCTGCAGTGTGTATCACATTTGCACCCTCCATGCTGATCCTGAAAGATTGGCTTTTAATGGAGACAAGGGTGAGGAGACTTGTTGTGTAGTGGCACCTGCAAAACTTCTCCCTGAAAGGAGATGTGATGGAAGGGTTCACCCCTTTCCTTGGACAACCCTTGAAAACCTTTGGCCCCTGCTTCCCTACCCAGAGGAGTTGTGGATTTAGCAACACAAAAGAGATGCAGGGAGGCCGAGAGGGAAAGGACAAACTGTGCAGAAGGATACACATCCAGAACAGTGTCCGTTGTGCTCATGGTTGTGGTAATGTACTTGTTACCTTGAGCTCCTCTGAGTCAGGGGCTTTTCATACAGCACAGAGGCTCCTCCTGCCACAGTCAAAAACCTTCTCTTTGTAAGTGCTGGCCAGCACTATAAAATAGTCTATGTGCCTTTCCACCATAACTACACATCTTTACTCCACATGCTTATGTGCTACAGGCCTTCTACCACCTTTATCCAGCTATCAGGAATCTTGCTGGTTTTGGCCTTTCAGTTCAAAGACTTTGGTTTCAGTGGCCTGTCTTGTGGAGCAAGACAAGGGTAGATGTGAGTACAGCCAGCAGATCAGCTCCCCATGCATGTCAGGAAGTTGCTTGTGAAAGTAGAAGGGGAACTGTGAGGGTTGAATTATGTACAGCTCCATTTCATGGCCCTTTTTCACACCTTGGAGTGACTCTTTGTTGAGGTACAGGCTGGAGTTCTCCCAGAAATCCCCAGAGCTGCTGTTTATGGACGTCACCAAGAGATCACAAGAACCCTCGGAGAGAGAAGGATCCATAAAATTTTCTAGTTAGCAAATCTGCACTACATACAAAAAACATTATTGATATTATTCAAAAGTTTCAAAGCTGCCAAACAGTAAAACACACATGTCACATAGGGCTCCAAGCTTTCTTACACCCACTTTTTACTGTTCCTTGCTAACATCTCTAAAATGTGTTTTGAATTTCAGCTCTGTCTGTTCAGTCACCAACTGACAACATTTATGGCTGGAGAGTAGCAGTGATTGTCCTTGGAGTTTTACTTGGAGTTGCATTAGTGCTGATTCTTCTGGCAATAATATTTTACATCTGTATGAGGAGAAGGTGGGGCAAATACTTCGTTGAACCACGGGACTCATGGGAAACTTTGTCTAAAAGCACTTATAGGATGCACAATGTTTCATTTACATCTTTGCAATAAGGCAGAAAAGTAAGATATTTGTCTTAAAATTCTATGTCAGTTGTTTATATTAATTTAATTCTACCTGATCCTTCCCAATGTCCATCACCAAATTCCTGAGCTCCTAACAGCCTCCAGTGAATCATCCTTTTAAAGGTATGGAGTGAGGAATTTTCCCCATGGGGGAAGAGTGAGGAGCAGAGAAACCTGTGCTCAGCCTGTCCCTTAGAGGTATTACAATGACTCCTAACATGGATTTTCTAGAGAGAAAGGATCCAAACTACTCAATACTTTCTTGTATTTAGATGGCATAGCAAGCAGAGTAACTCAGCTTGGTACCTGTGGCAGGTTACTTGAATGCTCAGCTGAGCCCAGAGTTGGGCTTTATGCACTTAGCCAAGGGTGATTCACCTCCCCTGAGGTTTTTATCACCATGTGAAGATGCCTCTTTCTCTCCAGTGGCTGCAGAACAAGCCCAGGGTAATTAGTGTCCTACCTCACGCAGGTTGGTTGGGAGTTTGAAGACAAATGGGATGCATCTGGGTTATATGGACTTGCCATGAAAGTCTCTGAAGGAGCAGCAAATCAATCTGGAGGCTTCTGAATGAAAGGTTTCTTTAATTGTTGGGCTATGCAGAAGCAGCTGCCTTTCTGTGACAAACATAAATAATGCTAAATAGAGGTGTGGTTTCACAGCATAGCCAAAACATGTTACTAGAAAGGAGAAGAGAGAGAATAGGTCAATTTGAGCTGAAAGATTTCATTCATCTATTTTTGCCTGGCAAATATGGTTGGTTGGTCAAGGGTTGTGTCATAATAGCGCAATTTTGCCTTACTCTTGATAATCTCAAGGTGGAGTCCAGTGGAAGCAATCTGAAGGCTCCTGTGCCACCGGAGCTTTACAGCAATTAAAAGAGCAATTAAAAGAAATGGCCTTTACCGGTTTTCACTGCTCATAGCTGCAGTCATGGTGAAGTCACAGTCTGTTTATCCTATGGTGTAGTTTTTCCTGCTAGGAATATGCTAAATAAACGACAAAGGGCAGTATATATTGCTGTGCATATTTTCAGTAGGATTTATGTGTTTCGTTTCAAACCAATTCTCCCTGTGTCTGTGTATTTTGTCAATATGCCTGTGCTGGGCACTCCTGTTGAGGCACTGAATATCCCCTGATGTCGAGGCCCTGGCTCACACCTCCTGAACAGTTCAGGCCCTTCATTTTTGGGGACTGTGTTCTGGTTAGTTGGCACAGGTTAGAGCAAGGAGGTGCCTACAACTGTAGCACACGGTGGGACCTCAGCAGACAAAGGAGCTCAGCAGAGTGGTGGTGCCCGAGCAGCTCTGCTCTCCTCTGGGCACAGTCAGTGTTCCTTCTTTTTATACCTCCTTTCCTGGGCAACAGTTCAGCTCCTTGGAGAACCCTGAGGAGGACCCTGGTAAGCAGATGGGTGAAACCATCCCATGTGCTGCCTCACTGCAGAAAGGGTGACTAGTTCAGGCTGTATCATCACCCTGGTGAGGGAATTCCCCTCCAGCCTTGCTCCTCCATCCTTGGCTTGGCAGCAGCGTTGCTGTGGGAGGCCAATGGGCTGTGCTGGTGGAGAAGGGAAGACTGTCTGAGCACTTTAAGGTGTCTTCACACACGAAGTTGTGCTGGTGGTTCATGTTCCTGTCTGGAATGTTATTTTCATTTGCAGGGACCAGTGAAACAGGGTTTTGCATGCTTTGTTCTCCCTTTCCTTCCATGTAGTGCCAGCTTGGCTCTCCTTCTGCTCAGGTCTGGGATATGGGGCCACAGCCCACCTCACTGATGGAAAGTCAGTGATTAGTATTTGTTAAATTTCTTTTTTGTGGGTTCCAAATATAGCTAGCTCTGGCGCTATATTCACTGAGTAGTCACTCCACAATGTATTCTGTCAACAAATACAAGTTTTCCAGTGAGCTGTGTTGAAAACACAAAAAAGTGCTCTTGCTTATGTAAATACTGTTTCCTTTCTGTTTTGAGGGATCTACTTTTAATAGCAAATTCTTATTGTCATTAAACTTTTCAGGTGTCCTTGTAAATAATGTTAAATAAAGACCATGTACAGCAGGAATCCTGGGATTGTTCATGCCAAATATATTTAATATTTTCTAAAAAATGCTTTACAAATAAAATCTCTGTTTTTACAACTGTGCCTTCTGAAGGAATCTGCTGGTCTTCTTTTTTTCTTGTGATTTGGAGCCTCTTCTACCTGCAGGAGGAGAGGGTGGCGAGTGCTGTCAATGCTTGGTCCAGTTTGATTACGTGTGTAAATGGCATAGTCTGAGTAATAGTTGAGCTTTCCCTTAGTACAAGCAGCTTGAAAAGTCTCTGATTTCCACCGTACTACAGTGACCTCTTGAGACTTCTGGGCCTCTCTTCAGAGGCATCTGTGTTGTTTCAAATTTAGCTGAAACTGGTTAACATTTGCAGAAGTTTTTTGGAAGGTCAGCAGCTGGATAGCCAGAGGGGCTGGTAGAACCACTGTCAGCTCAGTCACGCAGATCTTATCACCTTAAAAATAGGTTTTTCCAACAAGGATTACCGGGGCCAACACCTTCTGGGATGTGGCGCCGTACTTACCCCTGGGGTGCTGCTGTTGTTTCCCATCTGAGAAGCAACCTGGGAGCTCTCCTGCCTCCTGTTTCACTGAACTCTGATGTAAACCCCTCAGCACTTCACTTTGATGTAGGTGGTCAGGGTCTCTCACCACTTACAGGGTCAGTCACACGGGAGGAGAGAAAAGTGTTTTCAAACAGAAGAAATTCTGATGATACACTTGCAGAGGGGAGGAAGGTTCTGGGATAACTCACCCGTGGGACTGCTGGGATTTTCAGCCCAGGGGGATTCTGTACAAAACAGTAAAAATTAGAGGTAAATTGCTTAAGTTCATAAATGTGGAAAATAATAAAATGAGCGGTCAGTGGAGATTTAAGAACGTTAGAAAGCATATATTGTAGTACAACATGAAATATGTGCCTGAAAGCAGGACACTGATCAGCACACACCAACCAGAGCTTAATATAGTAAGCAATTTACCTCTAATTTACCAGGGCCATGCTCAGTTGTTGAACTACAGCCCCATGGGCACAGGCAGTATGGGACTGGATGTAGCTATGCTGTGGAAGAGCAGGTTGTGCAGTTGCCACCTTCTATCCAGTTGGGATTTTGTAGGCTATGCTAGGAATTTCCCTTTGTGCCCTTGTCATCGTAGACTCAAGATGGAGAGCAGGAACAACACCTTGACAGGGAGGAGGAAGCAACAGGGCATGCTCTCAGACTTATTAAGACAGGCCTAGGAAACACTGGGAATGCTGTGTCTCCCCTGCTGTCCCCAGCCTGTGAGCCAAGTGCCAGAGGAACAGAAGGAATTGGCTGGTGAGCACAGGGAAGCCACGGGGACAGAAGTTCCCTCTGCAGAGAGCTGGCTCTACCCTGTGCTGACACTGGAGTGAGACACTAAAGGACACAAATGAGCAGCAAGAGGGGTCAGAGACACAGACTACCTAAGCCAACAGCATATTGTGCCTTACCCAAGCTTGGCTGCTTGCTTTCCTCTTCTCAAACAGCAAGAAAGACGCTGTAGGACTTCAGCACATCCCAAATATATGTTGGTGTATAGAATAAGGAGTGCATGTATGCACTCAGCATGGCCTGGAAAAATGAACTGTGGGATTTGGGTCAGGGTAGGACCTTGGCAGCTGGTGCCTGGAAGCGTGCAGGAGCTGCTGAGACATCAACCAGCAGCTCCTCAGGCCCATTTACCTGCAGAAGATGCTGCCTGGCTTTACCAGGGACCATGGTTAGTCCTTACGACTAACTTTGTAATAAAAAAGCTGCTGACATCTGCTTTCAGGTGTAATAGTGTGGAAATAACCCAGGAACAGAAACATCACCATTAGTAATCCAAGCAGACCTGTGTCATTTTAGTCACCTCTACGAGAGCTGGGCTGTCCCAGGACACCGCATTCTGGGGATCCAAATCAATAACATGCCTTTTTAGCTACCATTAAATGGATCAAGCTGGTGTGTCTGTCTGCTGGAAACGCAGTTTTGCCTTTCTGAGCAGATCCAGACAGCACTGCTGCTGAAAAGGAGTTGACTTAAACATTTTTGCTGTATAAACACACCCCTCTGCCAACTGTTTCCAGTGTTAACGGGTTCTTTTAAGGACTCATTTTCCAAATACCCAAGAACTTTAGGGCTGTGCTCAGTTTTTGGTTAGAAAGCTTGCAGTGAAAGGCTGGGATTTGTCCAGCTCGTGTCCCATGGCTCCAGTTAAAAGTTTGCCCTGGGGAACTGAAGCTCTTTTGTGCTGCAGGTCACATCCCTCTTCAGTTGCTCTTGCCGTGAGGGACACTTGACCTTTGCATGGAGGAATATATGTGAAAGTGGGAGGCTGAATGAATAAAACACCACATCTGAGCTTCCAAAAATCTCGTCAGCACCTTGATCAGACGTTCACGAGGGTACAGGATCAAGAAAGGGATGCGCTGCTCAGCAGGAGCCACCAGATAGCGCTCCCTGCCCCTGGATCAGCTGCTCCAAGACCTGTTCGCACCAAAACCTTCAATAATTCCTGAATTTTTGGCTCAGTCTGTAGCACGGGGCAGCCTGGAAACTCACTCCCCGTCGCCTGGAGTGCTGAAGTGCGCTGCGGTTCTCTCTTAAAGCGGCGTCTTCTTTTCCAGCACGTAAGTTGGGAAATGACTGAATTTCGTGACTCTGGAGGGCTGACATGGAACAAAGAGAGCCTGGAAGGACAACGGGAGCTTCTGCTGCCTTCGGGTCACCTTGGCTGTGTCCTGGCAGCAGCTTTTGTGTGCTGTGACAGGCATGAAGAGCCATGCAGTGCTCTGGTTAAACATGCAGTTAAGCTCATGCGGGAATTACAGCCAAAAAAGGAAGGGATAAAGGTGTCTGTGGGATCTCAGTGTGACCCTGGGTGTCTCTCAAGCGCCTAAATACCAGCTTAAAGCACAGCCCTGAACCCCGAGGAAACACTGGAGGAAAATGCTTTTGTTTCCTCCACAAAATTCCTCTTCCACTTTCTTTTTTTTTTTATGCCCTGAGTTGGCGCAAGGTGAGAGAACATCACAACTCATGGAGTCAGGGAACCGGGAGCATTCACCAGACTCCCCCTCAGGCAAGGGATTAACCTGTTTGTTACACTTTGCCAAAACCACCTCGTTATCACTGTGATCTGGTATTGACAGCAGCTCCTAAACTTTTATTCATCTCATTGCAGCAATAAACACACCATTCAATGGATTAAAAGGATAATTGTCTATCAAGTAAATTAAAAATCCTAATTTCATTTGTCTTCTCATGATCAGAAAGTTCAAGCAGAGTACAGACTCTTTATTTTTTCCAGTTGTTTCTTGTGGAAATTTTTCACATTGGATTCACTGAATCAGCAACTTAAGTAAATTAATATTAAAAAAA